TATATATATATATATATATATATATATGAAAGAAGAAACTACCTCCCTGATTTTGGAACTCGTGATTTTAATCATAGGGTATTGTGTAATTACCACATTAAACAATTTATATGACAAAACTGACTTTTCTTATGGTGATATAATAAAATGGAAAGCTTAACATCCAGGAATGATTTGTTTGTGAATTAAAACCGTATAGAAGGAGAGAAACTTCAGTAAGATGATCGCACCACTTGACAATGTGACCGTCCTATCAAAGTGCGCCACCTCAATAGGTGGCCCACCACACAACTCGTGTAGGGTGATCACACCATGTGGCGGATGATCACCCTATCAGGATGCCCCATCTCGACGGGTGGCCCACCACATACCCTGAGGTGTGTGGGCCACCCGTCGAGGTAGCTACCTCGACATTGGACAGTTGCTCCCTCCACATGATGCGATCGCCCCACTAAAGTTTCTCTTAAATAGAAGTGGAAGTGTTCACCTAAATATAATTCCCAAAAAATTATTTATGCAATATTCGACATCCCTATTTATAATGAGATGTTGCTGCCATAAAAATTGAAATCATAATATTGGTAATGTCATAAAGTTTCTTATTACAAATGTAGGTGTCCATTAAAGTTCAACAACCTCATTAAATGGAAAACCAATATTTGCTAGGTCTCAAATTTAAGATGCTGATGAAATTTTGTAAAGGCAACAGACTTTCTTTATTGACCCATCTTTTATTGGGCAAGTAATAATGTGGTTATATTATCAAAAGGAATAACCTTTTGATAGTTGGGTGTGATATTCAAGTTCTCTCGAGTTAGCATCAATAAAAGCATAGCATCACATATTTATATAGGAGAATAAATGTAGTATCCACAAACTAATTATGGCTGAAGGGTAGATGGTACAATTATTTATTGTATTAAATATCTTGCAGTTTACCATACCAAGGAATTTAAAATATATTGTAGACTTGTTTTTATCATTTATTATATTTCTTCATTCTTCCTTAGATAAAATTATTTCACTAGTGATGTCTATCCATTTACTCTTGAACCAATAATCATAGACTATCTAAGAATTTACTTTAGTCACATGCAAGAATTTTAGATATATTGGATACTAGCCAACATCTATATATAAGTAAGACATATTGTTGGAGACTCTTGGATGGTAAAGATTAACAAGAAGCCTAGAACAACTCAAGAGCCAAGTAAATTTTTTATTTATATTTTGTTGTTTTCCCAATTTCAATTGAGTATATGTTATATTAATCAAATGTGTTCAAATTATGAATTATAGTAAAAAAAATTATGAATTATAGTAGAATTCTTGCAGGAGAATTTCATGGAGGTGCCACCGTGGTTGATTATTCTATACAATACTACTTACTTCGGAGTCTGCTTCACTCATTCAGAGCATAAGAAGAAAGAATTGGATCACTTCTGTATTGACTGTAAAAAACCTATATGTTGTAATTGTGTTTTGACTCATGCTCTACACAATTATGTTAAGGTTTTATTGGTTACATCTCTTGCTAATTAATTTAGTCATGTAATTAATTTTCTTCTTTGGAATTTAATTTGAAATTGATGAATTTTTTTCCCCATCTTTTTAAGATTAGGAGATATATGTACTGTGAAGTTATAAGAAGGCAAGATTTGTGCAAACTCTTCGACTGTTCAAACATACAGGTAATTATGCAACTCTTACTAGTTTTTAAGCATTTTAGGATTATTTATGTATTTTTATTATGAAATACGTGTTATATTTTGTTATATTTTTTTGAATGAATCTAGAATTTTTAAATAAGAAATAACACTTTGATTAACAATTCGATAACGTATTATTCGCAAAAGTCCATATACATATAATCTTAAGTTTAACAAAAAATATATATTAAAAAAAAAAATCGTTTCAACACTTTTTATCAATGTTATAAGAACACTCGAGCTCAGTTGAGTGATTTATATATAAATGAGGCCCCTTTGTCTTTTATAGTGAATACGTTTTACAGTAGACTTCTTCGAAAGTTTTCAACGAAATACTCTTTACAATTACTAAGCTATGAAGAATAGAATTGCTATATATGCATTCAATAAAGAATATACTAATTAAATATGCGAAATGAAGAGTTCAAATTGAGTTGTTTTCCTTTTCAAAATTTTCTATAAACACTTTTAATTCTAAAAATAATGTAAATAATCTATATTTTGTATAAAGTCTGTTTTATTTTAGAATGATTTCAAGATTCGAAGTGTACTTGTGGCGACTTATAAAGAATTGAGAAAGAGATAAAATTAGGCAATATGCAAATTGAATTTATTATTTCTTTTATAAGTAATTGACCACGTTCTTGATATATGTGATACAAATAGATGATTTTATTAACCAAAAAGCTCTAATTTATATTCGTCTACAATGGCTTGGTGTTACTGTGCTCTCTTACTTAGTCTTTCTCTTCTTCTTTTGATGGCATTGATTATAGGCATATAATACAAATAAAAGTAAAGTGTTGTTCTTGAAGCAAAGGAGTCAACAATCATCACCACAACAAAATTCAAAGGATCACAGTTGCATCATATGCAAGAGGAGTTTGCCAGATTCCTGTTTATATTGCAGCATTGCATGCAAGGTTCGTCGTCGTCTCTCTCTTTTCTTGCTACGATGAAATATGTATGAGCCTCATTCAATGGTGATAGTATTATTCGTAGTAGTCGTCCTACAAATATTTGTTTATTACAGGTTTCTGCCATATGTGGAGATCGACTCAAAGAAGAAACTATTCTTGATTACAAGAGGATGAGTATAGCGGAAGATGTTGGCTTAGAAAATAGTCAGACAACAGATGGCTTAGAGAATCATAGGCCAAAAGATGGCGCAAACTTCATACTGAGAAGACGAAGGAAAGGAATTCCTCAGAGGGCTCCCTTTTTTTGAATGACCAAATTTATATTACATTTAAGCATTCCATGTCGCTGTGTAGGTTCAAGTTATTGAGATGCCCTTTTTTCTTTTTTTTTTTTTTTGGGTAACTTGGTACCGTGGACAGCTGAAATAAAACTAAGGTTCCATTTGATAGCGTCATATTCCAGGGAAAATATCACATTCGAAGAATTCATTTTCTATCTTGACTGTTTGATATGAAAGTGAAAATTGAGTTCGAATTTCAAGGTACAAATACTTAAAGCGTGTTTCTGGCCAATTCCATGGAAATCAAATTCTTATGGTTTTGATGGTTTTTTCTTTTCTAACTTACATGGAATTGATTTGCATTTTTCACTTATGCTAACTAAAGGACCCTAAATGAAAAGTACGGCGAACCAAGCAATTGTTGAAGAATACACCTATCTAAAAAATTATTCTTTGGAGTTTATACAAATAACAAGCACATCAAACAAATTATTTTTCTGCAATTTTATGGTAACTAAAATGATTGAACGTGAGGTGGAAGTATGATTTGAATTTCCCATGATTTAGGGATATATACTGAGTTTACTTTGGAAATAAAAAGAAATTAAGTACACAGAATAAAATTTTAATAAACTAATGTCCACTAAAAGATAATCTTGTATAAATTAATACTAATGAAAAATTCAAATAATGTTTATTATTAGTTAGTCACACATCAAATTGCTCCGATGAGAATAATAATAACATGGGTGATAAAAAAAAAACAGGTGCATTGTAAAAATTAGGGGTCGCCAAGCAGCTCGACCCCACGTCTAATTTATATTAGGGTGGTCATTGTGGGCACCAGTGTACAGGTAGCTCTTGTTCTCTGGCCTGTTAGGCACATTCCGCGATTAACCTCTCTCACGATACTTCAGGAGCGGGATGGTAGGAGACCCTCAAGGTTGGGGTTCAACCTATATTAGGGTGGTCACTGTGTATTCGTCCCATGTATTGAGGTAGATTATTAGGCTAGAGACCAATCAAAATTCAAGCTAAAGGACCACTATATCAAATATGATTGAGGGCAATTTACACAAATAGGAAAAAATAGGGGGTCAATAAAAAATATTGATTTTTGTTAACATTAGGACATCAATCGGTGCGGTGTATATGTAAATTTTTTTTCTCCCAAATTACTTTGTATGTAATTTTTACACAAATACTAAAGGACGTTACATACTTTTACGGACAGTGCTGGGCGTACAGGCTCAGCACATTACAAAACCCTTACAGGGTTTCTCAAAAGGGGTGGGGTCGGGGTTTTTTTATTTTGTTTTATTTTATTGTATTGGAGCCCACGTGGGACCGACCCCATGTGAGGGGTCGATAAGACCCCTGTGAAAAAAGCCCTGTACATAGGGCTTTATCCTACTTTTACAATGTCTCTATTTTTTTGACATTATAACTTGGATGTATTTTTGATAACTCGCAAAGAAATGGTACGAGAAACATGGAATTTAAGAATTGATCTCTCCACCCCGCTCTCCCTTTTCTGATTCCACGCACGCAGCAATTGTATCACCCCCCAAGAAAAATTAACGTAAAAATAGAAAAGATCCATATGCAAATGTATCCCGCCATAACTGATCAGCTGCAACCGTCACCATTGGAGCCGCCGTGTTCCACCTAAAGACGTAGGATTAGATAACCCAACACAATCAATTGCTCAACCCACAAAGAACATTCACTATTTGTTGCCCAAGTATATGAATAAACACAAAAGATTTTATTACACAAAGAGAATAAGATGGTGGCTTCATACTCACAAAGAGAAAGAAAGAGCAAAGATTTTAGGATGAGCTAACATTTAAATTTTTTTGAATGAACTTACGCCACAAGAAATCAAGTTTCGAAAGTTATTTTCGTGATATTCACGATAAAAAGTATATGACACTCAATGAAATAAAAAAAGTTTAGATGTCTCACACTAAGATATTCCACAAAATTTTTGTATTTTTTTTACCAAATGCAAAATCGATGCTTACCTTAAAAAATATAAACTAATCGAATCATGATAGAATTAAGCAAAAACACATATCCACCAATGAACATTTAAAAAATTACTTAAAGAGTATTCTTTGAGTAACTTTGACAACCGATTTTTCCAAATAATTAAAAGTTTTAACAAATATTCTTTTTATTGTCAATATCAAATATATAGTAAGTTATTTATTTTGATCTAAATATCTACTTTAAGGTCAAAACAAAAATTTATTATTTTTTTCTATAAATATGAATTATTAATGAATGAAAACATACGTAATTTAGAAAATACGTAGTGCCTCTAACTATTAAAATAAATAATTTACTTTTAGATCTAAACAATACAAATTATCTATAATAAAATTTACTTAATAATTATAAGTAAATTTTAGCCAAACGTCTATTAAATAGAATATCTAATTTGACAATAAAATATTCACATTTTACGAATGTCTTAAAAAGAGTAATTAATAATTGTATCGTCTTTGAGACAATTTGAATAATTGAGCATTAGACTTGGATTGAGATTTAAATTAAAGATAGACTAATGTTAATAATTGGCCAAAATTCTAAAAACTTTTCTTAGAAATTTATATGGGCTGGGGGACAGTATTGGGCTATTGCCCCCCACTACCTTCGCCTCTAAACGACTAGAGATGTTAACGAGCTGAGCTGAGTCGGCTAGTGAGTCGAGGCTTTTGCTCGATTCAAATAAAAATGGTTCGGACTATTTTGGGTTGACCAAAAAATCTAGGCTTGACGCCAACTCACTTATCTTTTTTTTTTCCCCAATAAAATTAGTTGTCGTGCAGGCAGTGTGTAGCTACCCAAAAAAGGCAACAACACTATTGCTAGTGTTGTTACTTGTAAAAGGTGGCTATGTGTAGCTTCACTTTTTTCTCCCTTTTTTTTCTCATTTTTTAAAGAGTCGACTTTTGACGGGCCGAAAATGGCTTGTGACATGAGCTGCCCTGTGTGGCTCGTCGAGAGCTCACTTGGGCTTGGTTATATTGAGCCTTGAGTTGGGCCGACTTGGACTTTTTTCGAGTCGATCTAGGGGACGGCCCGAGCCAAAGAGCCAAACTGACGTCCCAAGCTGTCTCTCTTTTCTTGCTTTATTACACATGATCAAACCACAAAGGTTATATAACTAGGGCAGCCAATTAAATAGGTCAAAGAGGAACTGGGTTAATCCATATAAATGGGCCATCCAACTAGTGATTTTAAATATCATTTCTTCACATCCCAGTACATATCACCAATGCACCCTCAAACATCTACTCAATATTATACTAGTTGGCCCACTTACTGCAAGTGTGCCTACTAGAGTGAAAATACAGAGTGTTAAACCTTAAAATAGCAATCTCAATGTTTATACATTCAGCACATTATACACAGTAACATGGTCACACTTAAATTCATGTAAATGTACATACCATATATAATGAGGTGTAACAGTAAACAATGCACAAGAATCAAGCAATCATTTATGTAAATGAAATGAACCTCACTCAAATCATAACTAGATCCAGTGGCAATGTTTGTCTCACCTCTTACTTTTTCTTTTTGTTCATTATTCTATATAGGACAATCTCTTATAAACACTACAACATTTTGTACCTTTTCTAACATTTAAAGATAGCATTCTTACCTATAATGCTACAAAATAAAATAAAATTTTATTTAAACCTAATACAATAGCATTCTTTAAAGGCCCACTAAGAAGCCCAAGATGCTCAACATTTTACCACCGGTGCCACATTTTCTAACCTATTTTCTCTCTCATTGAATCACGTCTCCACCTCTCTTCTGGCCGATTCATTCCTATTCTTTTTCATCTCTTCCTGTTGATTTCACCACAGATTCATCCCCAAGATTTCCATGATTCCGTCCCCAAGATTTCCATCTATTCTCTGTCGATTTCACCACAGGTTCATGTAGGAATTGGTTCAAATAATTAACCAAAAATTAGAAAATGAAAATGTGTGTAAAAGTGGAAAATGAAAAGGTGTGACTACGTGTCAACTTTGACCAAATATTTGGACTTCATCTGATGGTTAAATTACAAAAAAAAATAGATCAATTTATTCTTCTCGTCGAGTAGATCGTCGTGTTATATTTGGAATCTCGAAACCAATTCCGGATGAATGAGAAATTGTGGACCAAAGTTGGAAGAAATGAAATGTTGTAACTTTTCGAAAGGATGAATGTTTTGGCCCACACTACTTCATTTGCACACTTTCTACATCTATAAATAGGACCCTATGGACATAGTTTTGGGTACACCAATTGTATTGAGCATTCATTCTCCTCTTACAATTATCTCCTTTCTAATTCCATAGCATTTTCATGCATTTCCTTTGTAGAGGAGAAATTCTATCAAAAGTTCGTCGGTTTCTTGTGGTTTGAAGTGCTGCTACCACAAGTTGTGAATCCATTGTATTTTAGGAGACAAGTGTCATTCACCGTGAGTATCGTAACGGGGCAATTTGTCTTAAGGAAAGAGATAATGTCTCGCCTTGGATTTTTCTCTATTTCTACTTCTTTTTAATCATTGTTTTGTGTAATCGTTATACTGAAACTCTGTCCAAATTTCCATTCATATAAATTGTGTTTTGATCACGTTCTTGCGGGTTAAAACTAGTCAAACAAATATATCAAAAACTAGTCCTTACATAGCCCTTTTTTTATAAGTTGTCTCCAACAGTTCATCCCCAAGATTTCCATCTATTTCTGTCGATTATATTCGTCTATATGTTCTGCAGATTCCATGTGAAATTTAGGAAAAAAGTGTCAGCATCGACGATTTGAATCAATGGAGAATCTGGAGATTGTTTCTCCTTCACTTCATTAATAAGGTTTTTTTTTTCACTGGTTTTTTTTTTTGGATTTTTAAATTGGATCGTCGCAATAGAGGACCTTCCGCAAATCTGTGCTTCATTACTTTTCTCTACATATTTTCACCTCTATTATGTATGTTTTTGCAGTGTGAGCAGTGTGACTTGATCTTGCAATAGTGTCATTTATGGTATTAATTTTATTTTTTCAGATTATTATTCTTGTATTTTGAAAAATATTTATTTTGAGACAAAAGAAATTATGAAGTATTTTAAAATCTTGTGGTTTCTTATTGATAGGGGTGTTTGATTTTGTTGGTAATTATTAAAAACTGGCATGACTATAGTCACTATACAAGATTTGTTCTTATATTCAATGACTACCTCGTGT